CTAGAGCCCGCAATGCTTGGCGAGCCGGCTGATCCCTTTGCGACCCCGCTAGAAATCCTACCCGAATGGTATTTTTTTCCTGTCTTTCAAATACTTCGTACAGTACCCAATAAAATATTGGGTGTACTTTTAATGGTTTCAATACCTGCGGGATTATTAACAATACCCTTTTTAGAGAATGTCAATCAATTCCAAAATCCATTTCGCCGTCCAGTATCTACTAGTATGTTTTTGATTGGTATCGTAGTTTCCTTTTGGTTGGGCGTTGGGGCAATATTACCTATTGAAAAATCCCTAACTTTAGGTCTTTTTTAAATTGTTAAAAATCACAGCTTGTGTATCTAGGGTAACCTTTTTTCATTTTAAAGTTTTCCCTAGATACTTAAATTCTAGTTTCTTTAATTCTGAGTTCTTTAATATTTATTTGATTTCTGTTTAATAAATAAACTATAAAATGTTTTCCTTAAAATAAAAATCCAAAATATTTTTTTTATCTATTCTACATCAAAATGTTCGAGTTTCAAACGACCGTTTTATCTTTTATTTAAATTGTCCAATAATTCGACTTTTTTTATGCAACTATAGAGATTGAGAAAATCAGTCTAACTTCATACTTTAAAATAAATAAAAATGAATTTAAATGATATCTCATTTTTGTTTTTTGAGTGACCTTTTCTGCAGTATGGTACGGGGTGATAGCGAAATTGTGTGTTTAACATTGTCAAAACGGAGATGGGTTTCCTTCATCTGGAAAATAAGGAATACAAAATTAAGGAGATTTACGGTTAATTCATGAAGTTTATCTTTTGTTCTTAAACTTCTGTTTGTTCCGATTTCCAGAAAACCTGTTTATTTATTTTTTTTCATTGCCTTGTACTTAACTATGTTTCCCTTTTTTTGTTAAAGGTCGGGCCCGTTTTTTTTTTAATAGCCACCACTTCTCTGTATTTTTCCTCCAAGCCAGAAGTCAATGGGTTACGGTAAAAAAAAGCTATATAATATATTGTCTTCTTCCAATGATTTTCACATCTAGATGAATCATCAGTTACACAAAAATAGATTTATCAATAAAGTTTCTTAAAATCTTAATACGACCCTCATTTTACAGACGCTCTAAAAGACATTCTTAAACTTTATATTTGCAACCAAGGTTTTTGGCTTTGCATTCCTCGGTCTAGTGTGTTGGCTTCACCTTTCATTAAGTTGCCCATAGGAAAAGCATTTACTAGCTGTTTTCATTTCCATTTGAGTATCCCAGCAATAGAAACTGGGATTTTTTATCACATCCTAGGATTTATTGAGTTTTGAGTAATAAATGATTTTTTTCTCTCTATACACGTCGTTTTTTCGGAGGTCTACAGCCATTGTGTGGCATAGGAGTGACATCCAGTATCAACTCTAATCGTATACCACTTCGACGAATCGCTCGTAATGCTGCGTCTCTTCCAAGCCCAGGGCCTTTTATTAACACGTCTGCTTCACGCATACCATGGTTTATTGCTGTACGGATAGCATTTGTTGCTGCCGTTTGCGCAGCAAACGGCGTCCGTCTTGTAGTTCCTTTGAATCCGGCACTACCTGCAGAAGCCCACGAAACTACGCGCCCTCGTACATCTGTAACAGTGACTATAGTATTCTGTAAACTGGCCTGAATATGAATTACTCCTTGTGAGATTTTACGTGTATTTTTACGTAAACGAATACGTCCATTCCGACGCGAACTAAGTCTCGGGATTAATTTTACCATAGTTTAGCTTTTTTTTTTTTTATTTTCTAAATCTGAGTCGGTGCGGATATCTCTATTTTTAAATTTTTAATTGTTGGATTGGTTTGGTTGTTTTGATGTCTTATCCCTGTCCTTGTTTATGTCTCGGGTTAGAGCAAATTACTAAAATTCGTCCTCCTCGCCGGATTAGTCGACATTTATCACAGATTTTCCGAACAGAGGCTCTTTTTTTCATCGTTTGAACTCCTTAAAATTCAAGTTTATTTCATCCGAATAAAATCTCTTTATTTTCTAGAAATTATTTTAGTTTATAGCAAAGCATAAAAGATAAAAAAAAGATCTAATTCATTAAATAAATACCGAATATATTTATATTTTATTTTTTTTTTTTTTTTAAAGCAATTTCTTTTTTCAATAAATTAACAATTAGCTGAAAAAACGAACAAAGCATCTACCATATATAACACAAAATCTCTCCCCCGATTCCTTCTAGTCGGGCCTCTCGGTCTGTAAGTATGCCATGTGAGGTAGAAAGAATTACAATTCCTATTCCACCCAAAATCCTAGGGATTTTTTTGGACATAGAATAGATTCGTCGACCGGGTCGGCTTATCTGTTTTAAATTTAAAATATTCGTAACAGGCCCTTTTTTAGTCTTTTGATGGCGCAAAGTTAAGACCAAAAAATAGTTTCCGTTTTCATAGTGTTTTCGCACGTTTTCAAGAAAACCTTCTCGTAAAAGTAGTTTTATAATATTTTCAGTAATATTACTGGACGGAATTTTAACCATTTTTTTTCCATCCATATTAGCATTTCGTATAACCGTTAATACCTCAGCAATAGTGTCTCTACCCATGATGAATATGAATTAGTAGGCTCAAAAATTTTATATAATATAAACATGCTTTTCTCTTTATTTTTTGATGAATTTTGCGTGTGGTAAAGTTATATACGTTAGACAGATTTTACCCAATGTTCAGGCGATACCTAGATTTTTTAAAGTTCGTAGACTAGATTAAAAAGCTTTTTATAATACTTCGGGAGCTAAGGAAACAATTTTATTAAAATTTAATTTTCTCAATTCTCGTGGGATTGCACCAAAAATTCTGGTTCCTTTTGGATTTCCCTCTTTATCAATAATAACTGCGGCATTATCATCATATCGTAGTATAATTCCGTTGTCACGTTTGAGTTCTTTACGGGTCCGCACAATTACGGCTCTGACGACTTCCGATTTTTCAAGAGTCATATTAGGCACAGCGTCTTTTATAACAGCAACAATAATGTCACCAATATGAGCATATCGCCGATTGCTAGATCCGATTATTCGAATACACATTATTTTTCGAGCCCCGCTATTATCTGCTACATTTAACTGGGTTTGAGATTGAATCATATCATTTCTTACTCCGTTTTTATCACCGCAATGTGCAAAGAAAAAAGAAATATTTTTTGTCCAAAAATCTACGAAGAAATCTGTTTAAGTCCGCCGTTTCGATTTTATTTTATTTCCGAAAAAATGAATTGAGTTCGTATAGGCATTTTTGATGCTGCTATACCAAAGGCTCTTTTGGCAACATTTTTTGTTACACCATCCATTTCATAAAGTATTCGCCCGGGTTTAACAACAGATACCCAAAATTCTGGGGATCCCTTTCCCGAACCCATACGTGTTTCTGCTGGGCGTATAGTAACAGGTTTATCAGGAAATATACGTACCCAGATTTTACCTCCTCGACGCGCATTGCGTGTCATTGCCCGTCGACCTGCTTCAATTTGTCTAGATGTGATCCAAGCGGGTTCAAGTGCTTGAAGTCCATATTTACCGAAAGAAATATGATTACCTCGAGAAGCGAGCCCTTTCATTCGTCCTCTATGTTGTCTACGGAATCGAGTTTTTTTTGGGTTATAGTTGATGATTGATAGCTTTTTTATTTCATCGCTACTCCAGAACTGGACATGAG